TGAATGAATGAATGAATGAAAAGAAAAAACAAACCCCCAAAAATCCAGTTCAAAACAAAACAAACAAAATACCAATGCAAGATGGGGGATGTGGGAATGGCAGCCAAGTAGACAAAAATGTCATCTAATGGCAAGAACAGCTCAGGAAGGCAGTTCAGTTGGTAAAGTGCTTGCCTTGCAAACTTGAGGATCTGAGTTCAGTCCCTAGAACTCACTGTTCAAAACAAAACAAAACACCACAAACCAAATCAAAACAAACAAACAAACACATACACCCAGGATCCGGGCACAGTGGTGCACGCCTTTAATCCCAAGTTTGGGGAGGCAGAGGCAAGTGGATCTCAAGGAGCTGAGGGCAGCCTGGTCTACAGGCCAGCCAGGGCTACGGAGACCCTGTCTCAGAAAACAAAACAAACAAAAACAAAACTTGGAAATTTGGCATCCCAGCAGTGTGAGGACCATCCTTTAATCAAGGATTAGAGCCAAGTCTTTGAAATTCAGTGCAAAACAACCTTTAATAATAGTGAAGAAATAATTTCTATTAAACAATGAAAAGTGTATTTTCCCTGATCACAGTAAGATATTTCCACCACAGGACATACAGGGGTGGGGAAGTAGGAATGTAAAAATAACAGTCACATATAATCACACTATTAAAAGCTTACCACGTTAGCTTGTGTATGTATGTGTAGCATACGTGTGTGTGGAGGCCAGAGGCTGACATTAGGTGTCTTCCTTTTATTCACTGTGACAGGGTCTCTCTCTGAACCCGGGGTTCACCCACAGGTTAGACTGGTTGGTGGGATCCATGTGTCTTTGCTCCCATTGTATTACAGATATATGCCATCATATTTGGATTTTACGTGGGTGCTGGGGATCCAAACTCCTGTTTCCACAGCAGCCACTGTAGTAGCTGAGCTATCTCCCTCAACCTAGCCTGCCAATTTTTTAAGATCTAATGTACACTAAATCAATAGGTTTTTTTTTTTTTTTTTTTTTTTTTGAGAATTGACTCTTTCTACTATAAATATTCTGAAAATGAGTAAAGAATGATGTGATAATTACACAAGTCCAAAACGTCCTTCCTATGGTCTCATCATCCCTTCAGGGCACCCTCCACCAGCACAGTGCTAACATCTGCCACCATCCCACCATGCGGCACAGACCTAAGAGCGCTGCACACGGCTGAGCACTCTGTTTGCAGATGTCATCAAGAGCTTACGCCCAAAGTCTGAACACATAGGCCGGGGGCCCCCTCCTTGCCCTCTACATGTCTCCAGAGGTGGGTAAGAGGTACTCAGGGCCTTTAAACTGTTCACTCTAAAACTACTGATCTCAAAAGTATTAACCAATTACCGACTGTGTGCACCATGGACAAACACAGAAAACCTTAGTGCTATCTCAGTGTTATTATAGGAAATGAGAAAGAATAAATACATCCAAGAAATAAGTACTATATAAAAGAGTATTAATAACTAAGCACAAAATGTTTTTAAATTCCCAGAAAATGGGGGCTGGAGAAATGGCTCAATGGACACAGTGCTGCCTACATAGCATGAGGAGTTTCCACCGTCAGCACCCACCTAAAAAGCTGGGCATGGGGGACTGGAAAGATGGTTCTTCTGCTTTTGCAGAGGACCCTGGTTCAGTTCTCAGCACCCACATGGTGGCCTACAACCATCCACAAGTCCAGTATCAGGGGATCTGGTGCCCTCCTTTGGCACCAAACAGGCATGCGGCAGCGTACTTATGTACATGCAGGTAAAACACTCATACACAGCTGGGCGTGGTGGCCCATGCCTTTAATCCTAGCACTCAGAAGTAGAGGCAGTTAGAGCTCTGTGAGTTCAAGGCCAAGCTGGTCTATATAGTACATAGTGAGTCTCAGAGAATCAGAACTACACATTAAGACTCTTGCCTCTAAAACAACAAAATACACCCATAAACATAAAATTAGTAAATACTTAGAAAAGCTGGCACGGCAGTGTACATCTGTAATACCAGCCCTGGGGCATTTGGTAAGCTCCAGGTTAAGTAAGAGACTGTGGAAAGCAATGGAAGAAAACACGTGATCTCTGGTGCTGGTGTGCACAGCACGCACACACACATACACACACCCACACACACCCACTTCTCTCCTTCCCCTATTCCCAAGAAGGAATGAATTCTGTAAAATGGAATTCTCTGTGGATCCCTGTTACAAGGCCAGCTTGGTCTACAAAGTGAGTCCAGGACAGCTAAGGCTACACAGAGAAACCCTGTCTCAAAAAAAACCAAAAAAAAAAAAAAAAGAAAAAAAAAAGAAAAGTGGAACCACTTTAATAGGCAAGTACAAGTCCTGCTGGAACAGTGCAAGTGTCAAAGCAACAAAGTCACAGGAACAGGGCTGCAGGAAAGATGGTGTCAAATCCTATTTCCTTCCATAGCCTCCCTCTGCCACTCAGGGTCTGAAAACAAACAGGCAAACAAAGCCTACTTTTCTCTGAACTCTTTAAGAACTTAGATGTGTAGGGCTGGCACTGGTCACTAAGTCTGAAAATGTATGTTTGTTCCCTGGAACCCAAATGGTAGAATGAGACTCCACAAATTGTCCTTGACTGCCACAGGTACCTAGATATGTGTGTGTGTGCGTGTGTGTGTACAAATACAGGTAAATAATAAATGTCATTTTAAAATTGGGTGTTCAAATAAGCACGCAGACAAGCTACAGGTCTTTCTGAAGCCAGTAAAACTATCTCTTTCAATAGCTTACTCAACTGTTTTTTAAAATTTTTAGGGCTTGAGAGATGGCTCAGCAGCTTAGAGCACTTGTTGGTACTTCAGAGGACTGGAGCTCAATTCCCAGCACCCACACGGAGGCTCACAACTGTCTATTAACTCCAGTTCCCCAGAATCTGATGCCCTCTTCTGGTTCCCATGGGCACCAGACACACATATGATGCACAGACAATACATGCAGAAAAAAACACTCATATACATAAAATAAAAAACTTAAAAAATACATACATATATATATATATATATTTTTTTTTTTTTTTTGGACAAAGTCTCAACTCTGTTGTTCTGGCTGGCCTGGTACCCACTCTACAGACCAGGCTGGTCTTGAACTCACAGATATTATCTGCCCACTTCTGCCTCCCAAGTGCTGGGATTAAAGGTGTATGCCATGATGTTCGGCTTCCAAAGACTGATTATGATACTAACACAAGTATTCTTTCAAAGGCTATTAGTGGGCTTCAAACAGCCATCATAAATGATGATCAATGTTTTTGTTAAGTACTGTTTTTGATGTTTAAAAACTGTATCATGATGACTTTCCTTAGAACTTACAGAGTGGAAGAGAACTGACTGACTCTTGCAGGTTGCCCTAACTCTACCTTTGTGCCATTTGTGCACACCTCACCCCCCAAATAAGTCTTTGGCATTCTTCATAGTAAGTAAGAGTTGTTTTAGGAATTCATCCTACTATTTTCCCCTATTTATCAATATTTCTCATCCATCCATCCTGATTAGTTTGTTCCAGGATATTTTTAAATTCATTTTAAATTTCTCTGGGTACTAGAGTAAGTGCTGACTTTTTGGTTCTCAACCATAATTGTCTCCCTCCCTGTCTTCCTCCCTGTCTCCCTCCCTCCCTCCCTTCCTCCCTTCCTTCTTTCCTTCCTTCCTTTAAAATTTTCGAGACAGCTTTTCTGTGTAGCCCTGGCTGTCCTGGAACTTACTCTGTGGACCTGGTTGGCCTTGAACTCAGAGGTCCACCTGTCTTGGCATGGGTGCTGGGGATTAAAGGTGTGCATTACCATACCTGGCTTATTACTTTTCTAAATAGGAAAACATCTCACCCCACCCCATGTTTTAATTATTTATTCAGTGAGGATATGTCAACAAACATTTTGGGAAATTTAGGGCTGGGGAGTCATAACTTAGTGCCAGAATGTGTAGTCAGCAAGTGCAGTCCACAGCACCAAGTGAAACTGAAGAAGACAAAGTTTAAACTTTGCACAGGCCATTCCACTCATGCGACGTTCAGACAGAGGCTAGGCTAGGGTATCTGGATGGGATGCTGGTTACTGGGGTGGTGACTGCAAGGACTGATAACGTTTTCATTCCATATCTGAGGGCCGGCTGATGGGTGTGTTTGCTTCATAAAAACCCATAAAGGCTAAGGCAGGAAGACTGAAAGTCTGAAGCCAATCTGGATTACAGACCAAGACCTCCTGTCCCAAATAAATGATTACATAAATAAACAAGTAAATACCAAGAATTTTATGAATTCATTGAGTTTGAGCACAGGGAATTTAAACACACTATAAAATTAGATACTGCTTTAAAACATAACAAAACTTTGGAATGGTTTAGTTGGAGGGAGGGAGGTGCCACCAAGGAACAGTATGCAAGGAATGTCAACAGTGTGGGCAGGTGTAGCTGAGCATCAGGGGTACGTGCGGATCTTTGTGTGCACGCTGTTCTGCACAATCATGCTTTTCTGCATATGTTACATGTTGCATTAACTAACTTTTTAACAGCCCTGGCTCTCCTGGACTCCCTTTGTAGACCAGGCTGGGCTTCAACTCGCAAAGATCCACCTATCTCCGCCTCCTGAGTACTGGGATTAAAGCTGTGCACCACCATGCTCAGGACATTAACTAATTTTTAAAAGGAAAAACAAAAAACAAACAGAAACCTTAAAAAACTAAGTAAAGCTTCATTCTGCTTCACATTCTGGCAAATACTAGATGGTTTATTTCTTGTATATTTTACCAAGGTTGAAAAAAACGACTTTTTTTTTTTTTTAAATCAGAGCAGACTTACATACTAGGAAACCTAAAGAAAGTATAAAAGCTAAAGAAAGTATCTTTGGTGGTTCAACTTCTCAAAAAAAAAAAAAGAAGACTACTTAGAAGTTGAATACTGTTTCTAGCTGCAAGTACTATTTTAGCAGTATATTACTGGTCCAAGAGCAAAGAGCCACACCTCGGATGATGTAGCTCTCCCATTACCTCAATTTCCTGTAACTGCTCCTGATTGGTTGTGTACATCTGCTGAAGAGAATCCTCGAGCTCAGTGTTCCGGTCCAGTAGCGTCTTTCCAAGTTCAGCAGCAAGCTGGAGATCTAGCGCAACAAAAAGATCTTAGAATGGGGCAAGTGTGAGCTCAGATCAACATTTTATATAATCTAGTTCCCAAAATAAACGAAGCAAGTCCCAACAAATGAAGTCAGATCCCAGTGGAATGCAGAATGGCCTAAAAGAAATGCCAGTCCTACTTAGAATTTGATTAGGGCCTGCTGGCAGGTAAAGTACTCTCTCATGCACCTTGTCAGACATAAAAGAAGGAAGTCTACTTCATAGAGAGTGGGCATTCGTTCAGGGATGGCCGTTCAGTACTACAATTAGAAGATCATTATTAGGTAACAAACTGACTAAAATCCTGACATTCTGCTTTTTACATGAGTCATCGAGCCGAAGCACACGCACGCCTCTCAGCAGCCTCCAAAACTCCCATCAAGCTGCTGGGAGTACAACTGTCAAAGCAAAGGTTGCTGTGTGGACTCTTTTTAATTTTTATTTTGAATTGTGTGCATGTCTATTATAAGGGAGTTGAAAACTCCAACTCACGTCCTCACACTAAAGAAACAGCACTTATATTGAACTATATCTCCAACCCGCCATATAACATTTATATATATATATATATATATATATATATATATAATCTTTTAGGTGAAGAAACAACTCACAGAGTGTTAGGAGCACAAAAGTCTTTGCCTTAACATAAACGCACCAGGGAAACAAGGAATGTTAACCATACTAGGATGTCTCTTTAACAAAAGAGATTTATAACTTTTTGTTCTTGTTCTAAAAATATGCCCGCATTCACCTTGAAGACTTTTTTGGACTAGTGGCACTAGCAGAGGAGATTTTAAGATAGCCTAGTCTTGACTGCATTAAAAAAAAAAAAAAAAAAAAAAAGAGTTGTTTGGATTCTTTAAATACTTTTCCTTTGAATTTGTGTGTGTGTGTGTGTGTGTGTGTGTGTGTGTGTGTGTGCGCGCGTGCACCTGTGAGGGTTGATGCACTACTGACGGTCAGAAGCAAGCATTGGATTTCCTGGAACTGGAGTTACAAGAGGTTGCGAGCTGCTTGATGTGGGTGCTAAGAACCTAATCTAAGTCTTCCACAAAAGCAGTATATGGTCTTAACAGCTGCGCTATCTCTCCAAACCCCTATCCTGGACTCTCAAGGCAACTAGATATTACAGCAGCAAATCAAATGGGAAAGTAACCAGGAGTAAGATACTTGCTTCACAAGTCTGTCTCTCACTCTCATTCCCCTCCCCCACCAAATTCCTATCACATCTTTTTAAATTTTGTTTATTTATTTTTGGTTTTTTAGTCTTTCAAGACAGGGTTTCTGTGTTTCTCTGTGTAGCCCTGGCTGTCTTGGAACGCTCTCTGTAGACCAGGCTGAACTCCAATGCAGAGGCCTGTCTCTGCCTCCTAAGTGCTGGGATTAAAGGCATGCACCACCACTGCCGCTGCCAGACCCTATCAAATCCTTTAGGCAAAGCCGCAAATATGCTTTTGATTCTACTTCCCTTAAACACAGAGCCAGGCGCTGTCACATTATTTCAGCCACCTCCCCACCTCTCAGACAGGGCTGCCCTGCTTCCCCGGCTCCCACTTCCCAAATACGACACTACAACTTGAGCCACCACATCTGGCTTCCCTGTCTTAAAGCTCACTTGTCAGCTATCTTCTTAGACACGTGCAAATAAGACAGGTTTTGCTATATTACAAGCCCAGGAATAGAAATTTAGTTGTAATATAAAAAGAAATACAAAACAAGATGATAGTGGCAATGTAAACACCCTGAAAAAAAGAGATACTTTTGAGACCTGTGCGCTGACGCCAAATAATTAAAGTCTCCCCACAGATTCCCTACCAGGGAAAAGGAAAGGCCGTTCTGACAACTTATTAGCCCATCCTACAGGGCAGACCAGAGCCGAACAATGGTGGCAGGAACACATCTTGCCCAGCACGCTTAGTGCCGTAAGCCTCTTTCCCTGTCTTCACCTACCCGTAGTGCTCCCTTACCTGGGCATGGGGTGCAGTCATTAGGCTGCTCGCATTTGTTCCTCTTCCCAGTGGAGCCATGTCCACTAACTCTTTTGTTTTTCACTATCCCTGTCTCTTTAATGGTGTACTGAAGACAGGTGGCTGAGCTTAGCTTGGTGGGGGTGCCAGAGCATAAGGCTTTTACTTTAAGAATTCCAGCAATTACTGTGACACAGGTAACTAAAATAATTATCGGTGTAGTGCATTTTATGGGCCAGCTCTATGATATAGTAGAAAATGCAACACCTCCTGGCAGGAAGGTATTAAGACCCAATTCTGACTGGTACGTTCTAGAAAAGTGATTTTAAATTTTTTCATTTCTGTCATTTTTAATTGTGTGTTTCTGTCTTTGTGCCTGTGGGTATGTGCAAATGAGTGCAAGTGCCCACAGAGGCCCGAGGTTGTCAGCTGCCTCATGTGGGTGCTGGGAACTGAACGTTGGCCTTCTGCAACAACAGTACATGCTTTTAACTGCTGAGCCACCTTTCCAGTCCCCAGCATGGTGAAAGGTTTTATAACGGTCTCAATGCTCAGTTGTCTTATTTGGAGAAGTGACTATCCTGTTAATGTCGGATTGTAATCAAATGGAATAATAGAGGAAGCTTTTCAAACTGAGTTGCAGTATACAAAGCACTTCTAGAAGGCGTTGGTCTAAAGACGTCTGTTGCTCTTCTCAACTCTGGCTACACTAACAGAACAGGGGAAGCCCCTGCTTTGTTGACTTTCCTAGGCAACTAGGGGAGGCTAGACAGCGCATCAACACTAAATTTTCAAATGCGGTTGCACTATCACCCAAATGTTGCTCTGACACTGTATTCACACACACTCACATACATATTCAGTAAAACTAGATTACATTTTAGGCACTGGGGACTGTAAGGAACTCAGATATTAAAAACTGTTTTGCCTTCTTGGAGCTTACAGCCCATGGGGAAAGGAGCACAGAAGAATATGTAATGCAGAACTGCCAGTACTCAAGAGATCCTGTGAAGCGAAGATGATGAATGGAGGAGTGCGGACTACACCACAGGACACCACAATAGGATGTGAAGGAACTGGGAAGCGTACATCTGAGGGAACAAAATCCAGGCAGAGGCAAAGCAAGCGCAACGACCCCGGGAGGAATCCTGAGGGAAGCTCTTAAAGGGCATGGGATTGAAGCAGAATGGGACAGGGAGGAGAATAAATCAGGACTCCAAGGTAGGTCAACTCGGGGAGTACTAAAGTAGAGATTAAGAGATTGTTTTTAACTCCAAAGTGGGCGAAGAGACTAGGGAGGCTTGACAGGCTGATTCCCCGAATGGGCCAAAGGCAGAGCACAGTAATAAGACACTAACTGTGAGTGAGACAGGACAGTGCCTCAGACTAGACACAGATAGAGAAAAGGAACAGACTTCAACATGACTTCAAAGTAAATGCTCTATTTGTTGATTAATTTGATACTGACTATAAGGGGGCAAAAAGTTAAATTATGTAAGGAGGGAACTAATTTTAGCTATGGCTTGAAAGATGGGAAGTCATCATGGAAGAGCCAGGAAATAACTTATCATACTGTATACCCTGGCAAGTAGCCAGTAAGGAGGAAGCAAGAACAGAGAGTGGAGGGAATCGAAATGGGAAAAGAAGGCAAAGAGCAATCATAAAAGATGTTACAAGCCATGCCAGAGAGATCTTAAATTGTATTCTATGTGATGGTAGATCACTCTAGCTACTGGAATACACATATGCATCATAAAAAACCCACATAATTATAAGCTTAATTTTTAAAGGTTGACAAATAAGATTTAACATCAGTCCACTGGGTTAAACATCTCTCCTTCACTTTTGACATTTAGAAGTTAACCTAGAATAAACGGTAACACAAAAACAACAAACTCTGTTATATAGTAACGCCCACCCAACAACACAATTAGTCGTGTGCTGAGTTGCTTTGAGGAAAAAAAAATATAAAGCAACAAATCCTACTACACACCAGTCCAGCTCAGCTCTAAATATACTCACATTTCTTGCTTTTTTCATACAAGGTATTTTGATTATGTCTTTTCCCTACCCCAAATCTTCCCAGATCCTCCTCAGTACTGAAAAGAGTAAAAGAGGAAATATAGGGAGAAACAACTAACACTAAAAGCCACTTGAAAAACTATATGGAAATCTACTAATGTAGAAGCTTAAATATATAGACAACAATACATACATAAACAAAAGGAACTGAAACGGAGTCACTAAGTAATAGGGTAGACAATACCCCAACCAGGGATCTTCTGCCACCAAGTAAAACCTCCAGTGCCAAGCCTGGGCTGCATCTTGTTGGGTCATTGGCCAAAGGGGTTCCCAGGAAGCCCCTACACATCACAACCTATCGGTTGATCTCCACAACCTAAGGGTAAGGCACTATTGCTTAAGACAACACTTAAGTTATGTTATTTAACCCAAAGATGTAAAGACGGTGCCTAACTAGAAACTCCATCTCGAATGACTAGTGTTCATGGGGCTGGGAGGTGCTTTGGACATTCCTAAATCATCCAGCTACAAACCCTGCAACCTATAACAGCGACCTGCCTGCAAGACACACTGGTACAATAGTGGTACAAATGTTATGTAGTATCCAACAATTTTTTTTTTTTTTTTGGAATGGACTTAAGGCCCATTCCATGAACTGAAACCTATGGTTGGCACTGCTAAAGTGGCCAAAACCCTGAGACTAAACGGGCCATGGGCCTAAGGGGAAACAATATGTTCATTCTTCAAGTGAAGATCCCACTGTTGACCAGACTGATCTCTAATTCAAAACCTTGCTCATTCTGCCAAGCAACTGAGATTAAACCATGTGTACCACATATCCAGAATATTCACCTTACAAACTTATCACTCTTTAAAAACGAAACCATACTAATAGTTGCTAAAATGTGTTCTCTTATGATTTCAATTTTAACAATATTAAAAATATATATTATTCTTATTACATTAAGGCCAGTAAAGAAGCCAATCTTCTTGTC